CTGACCCTAGAAGAAATTTCCTCTCTATACTTGAGGTAGCAACTATTTATGTGGACTTGTTTTCCTGACCCTAATTCAGAAGAGACTACCCTACTACTTAAGTCTTATTTGAGTTTCTTGGCCTTTGCAATACTGAGCATCTCTTTATTCTGTAGGGGTGCCCATTGATGCTGATTTTGGTTTATTCCATTGGTTGGATTGTCTATTTTTATTCTAATGATGATAAAATTATTTTACTGATGCTATCAGAGAGCAACCTTATTAATTTTATACTTGTTTTCTTGGAGACAATATTGATAGGAAAAATAAGAGAGTGGAAAGGAGCCAGGCTTCATTTTAGTTTTGTGATGAGGAAGATCCTACAGAGGATACAATTTGAGGTGAGAGTATGATAATTTACATCATGGTCCCCCTTTACCTCTACAGCTTACTTTTCGTAGTAAGCTAAGAAAATTAGGTAAAGGATACCAAAGAGTAATATTTTAGGATATTATTACCTGCAGGTAGATTATTTTTGTTTCGAAGATTGTGAGAAAATTGGGTGCAATTTTTTCCATGAGCAGAAGTGCAATTATTATTATTATAAGATGATGTTAAATATATTTTTTAATGGTCTGTTTGTTTCCACTAGCAGGTAGGCTTTGTGGAGGGCAGGAATCGATGTTGATTAATTTATTCTGTATCTTAAGCACTTACGACAGTATGTGTGCAATAAATACCTGGTGAACAAATGAAGCCCCAAGCAGTGCGTAAGAACTATTTTTCTACCAGAGATTCATTAAAAAGTGTTGTTAAGGTTGGCAATGAGAGGTGATGACATTCTGAAAGAAATATAGCCTCACTAGTCAATAGGTTCATTCATCTCCCAGTAGAATGAATGTAATGTGAGAGAGAAGAGAAATTCTCTCAAGTCATGGGCATGTCTCTGGCTTAGAATCATATTTCAGGAGAAAAAAGGCATCTTAAGAAAGAAGCAGAAACACCAAGGAAATATTTGAAGAGTGTCAAGAGATTCAGTGAGGTAGTGGGGAAATCACAGGGACTACTGCAGAGTCTGAATCCATTAAGATGGTGGCAATGTCAGTGATAAGGATGTAAGCTTGAAAGTATTGTGTCTTCTAACAAATGCCAGATTGCCTATTCATTGAAACGTTTGTCCCCTGGCTGCCCTTGAGTGCCTCTTTCAGGCGGTCTTTGTGCATGTTGTCTTGTGCCCATAGGAAACTTTGCCACACGTGTTCTTCATGCCCCCTCTCTGTGCAAAAAAAAAAAAAAAAAATAGATAAAGACAGTTCTATCCTAGAGATGGAAAATATTCCATAGAGAGACCCTGACAGCAGGAATCTAATTTCTTTTTTTCTTTTTTTGGTGGGGGTTACTAGGGATTGAACTCGACCACTGAGCCACATCCAAGCCCTATTTTGTATTTTATTTAGAGACAGGGTCTCACTGAGTTGCTTAGTGCCTCACCATTGCTGAAGCTGGCTTTGAACTCAAGATCCTCCTGCCTCAGCTTCTCGAGCCACTGGGATTACAGGCATGCACCACACACCCAGCAGGAATCCAATTTCTTGATATATATATTTTTAAGTTCTATTGGTTTTATTTGATACATAATTCAGCTATGTCTATCCTAATCATTAATATGTTAAAAACATTGAAAATTGGGGAATTAGATACCAGTTAGCATTTCCTACATAATAATGACTAAAAAATTAGTTATAAAAGCAACCATTTTGATTTGGTGTTGTGGCATGTGCCTATAATCCCAGCAACTTCAGGAGGTTGAAGCAGTAAGATCAAAATTTGAGACTATCCTCAGAAACTTAGTGAGGCCCTAAGCAACTTAGAGCCTGCCTCAAAATAAAAAATAAAAAGGACTGATGATGTGATTTAATGGTTAAGTGCACCTGGTTTTAATCCCCAGCACCAAAAAAAGCAACCCCGCCTCCCAACACATACACACAAAAAGCAACCATTTTATTCATTCATGTCTCAAGTCAGCAATCCAGGCTGAGCTCATCTGGGCAATCCCTGTGCTGATGTTGCTTGGGATGATAAATGAGACTTTAGTCATCTTGTGCCTTCACAGGCCTGCTCTGTGAAGATGACTGCATGCATATGTCTGATGGTCTGTGCTGGTTCTTGGCCAGACCCTAGGTGTCCAACAGATTGGCTCCAATCTTCTTCAAAGATGATATTGTTGGTTTCTGAAGTTCAGTCAGAGTTGGCTGACTCCATTGCTCAGGGCTCAAGCTGAGGCAGAACATTATGGAAGAAGAGTATGGCAGAGAAAGCTTTCTTGATATTTTAAAAACTGGAATCTGTTGTAACTACAGAATGCAGAAAGATAATGGGCTCCTGCTGCTAATCGAATACTGAGTCAAAAGCACAGAGGTGCCTCTGCTGAGCAGAAACCAGCCTTTTCATAAAACCCTGGGTTTTGGAGCACATACTGTAATAATTCCGTGACTAAACAGCTCATGGATGCAGTGCTGTGGTTTCCCCCCTCTAAAGGTCTTGATTAGGCCACTTCCTTTCTTTTATGTGTTGGAGACATGTATGATTTACGCAGCTATTGAAGTGGAACTGGGTCTCCGTTACCTTTTTTGGCATCTTGCACCCATTGTTAGTCTGGTTCTCCTGTTTAGTGGGTCTTGTGGTTCATATCAGTGAATAGTCAAATCTGCAAGAGAAGCATGATGGTTGTGAGCATCCGCAACATCAAGTTCCAAAGCAGTCATGACCATGTCTTCTTGTTCTAGAAATCAGGCACTCAGCTGTTTCATACCTCCTGGATCCTTAATGGTTGAGGCCAATTATATATCACTGAATCCTTTCTCTAGAGTGGTCAGAGGCTGTCAGTTTACACAATATGGGCATCAATTCAAATTGGAAGGGTATATTACTTAGGCCACTTTGGCTGCATGTGACAGAAATCCACTACAGGCTAAATAAAAGAGGAACTTACTGATTCTTATATCTGAAAAGTCAGGCAGAGCTGGCTCCCAAGTGTGCCAGAAACCTTTTTCTCTGACTTTCCCTCTGTGTCTGCTTCAAGCTTTTAATTCCTGCAAGCAACATAGCCCCAGGTTTATATGGACCTAATAGCCCAAGATTATGAAGAAGCATGCACTCTTGTCCTGGTAGCACAGCAAAAGTCCCTGGTTGGACACTGACAGGCCTTGTGTAAGTCACATGTCAGTCACTGAAAGCAATAGTGGTACCAGGAGGCATGGAATCCTCTGACCAAGTCGGGGCACAAGTCTGACCTTAGCGTGGGAGTGAGACAGTCTTAAGGACAGGGACAGGCTTACTTGTGGAAGAAAGGAGAGGATTTTTTCTTGAAGGAATGCTAGGCTAACCAAACATTATATACCCACAGAAAAAAGGAGAATTTGGGAGAAACAGCACTATCAGAGCCTCTGCTACTTCCAGAAGCTATAGTCAGCATGTATGTGGGGAAGTCAAGCCTATGACCTTGGCCATTGTGTTTATCTCAGAGCCTGAGAAGTAGCAGCAGAAGCATGGAGAGGGGGTAGGTAGTAATAAGTTCTTGGACCAGGTAGGACTCAAGGTGAGGGGCAGACTGGAGGAGCAGCAGTTGGGGGGATGGTCATCCCTAATGAATGCCATCCAGTCCAGAGCACCAAGGACATTCTTAGCTATGGCTTTTAGCGGAGGTAGTGGTGGTTGGAGGTTCTGCACACGATTTTAGGCAGCAGACTTCTAGTTAATGTGTAATTACTTTTCAGAACTCAGTTTGATTTACTAGGTTCCACCTGCTAAGAGTAAGTCTGAACTTTTTACAGTTGTCTCATATAAGTGCATGTAAATCGAATTTACTTATAATTATTTGAGTAAGATCTACCATCTGCATATAAGATCTATTACCTGCATGGGGGTAAGCTCCATGAGGACAGGGACCCTACCAGTTCTGGCTACTGTTGAATACCTAGTATGTAGCTCAATGCCCAGCATATTAATAATCTAAAAATATCAATTTTCTTTAGATGAACTAATGATACATCAGTTCTGGTAATAGTGATTGGTTTTAATATGAAAATGTAGCGCAAACTGCTTCCTCATCTTATATCATATAGTTTGACATTTTCATTTCTTTTCTCATTTGGCTTAATGAGGGGCTATTTTGAATAGTTGAGCTAACTGAATAATCAAAATCTGAATAATCAGGAGCCCTTTTTACTGAATATGATTTAAATAAAAAGTATGATCTATTTGGAATATAATTAAGAACCTTAAAAGTATTTGGGCTTAATGGAAGTTCTTAGTAGAAAACCTACCCAGGTTGCTCCTAAATATTATTACCCCTGGATTCCTTCCTTTAATTGTGTTGAGTAAAAGTTTGGAATTAGAAATGAATGTCCAAATCCTCTCACCTTGTTTAAAACCCATTGTTTGGCCTTAAACCAAAGTGTAGCTGGGCATGCACCTATAATCTCAGCGGCTTGGGAGGCTGAGGCAGGAGGATTGAATTGCAAATTCAAAGGCAGCCTCAGCAATTTATCAAGACACTGAGCAACTTAGCAAGACCCTGTCTCAAAAGACAAAATAAAAAGGGCTAGGGGATATGGTTCAGTGGTTAAGTGCCCGTGGGTTCAATCTCTGGTACCAAAACCAAACAAACAAGACTGAAGTGTAACAAGGGTGCACACATATGAGTGTGTGCTTTGGGTCCTCACTCCTGTCCTTGGTTATCCCAGGCACTTGGTCATTCTGGGTTGTAGTTGTGGCATGTTTCAGCAGGTACTGTGCTCACAGGTTTGTGTGTCAGCCTCCTCTCCTATGAGCAACTAAAAGGTAAGGGTTATTCAATAATTGGAAAGAATTAAAATTATTCAATAAAATGTCTTTTTTCTTTTTTAAATGGATTGTTAGATAACAAAACTTTTTTTGTTAAATAGTTTTGAATTAATAAAAACAGAAGCCACTAGGAAAAAAACAAACACCTAACTATGTTTTATAACTTTTTCCCCCAGTGCATCTATAGATCATCAAGATCATATATTTTATTTGGTTTGCCTGGTTCCGCTGGGCATTGCAATAATTCAGATTCTAGTTTGGAGTCCATTTTCGATCAGGACCAACACAGACTACACAGGAACTCTTTAAGGGCAGCATCAACTGCTATAGGATCCAAACAACTTCAGGTGATGGAGTGTACATAGACCCGAAGGCAAAGCTGATCTTAAAAACCTCTCATTAGTTTAGAAAGCAAAACAAATAAAATTAATAAGTTCAACAAGTCTTAGGACTTTTTGACTCTGTAATTTAAATATAAGTTAAGGCCTTTCTTTTGGTTATTTCCAAATGGTCTTGTAGCCTAGACACACCTGTAACTCTTCACCAGTGAATTGCTATGTGAGTTCCCAGAGCCCATCTGGCTGTGCACGCTACTCTCTTTGACAATTTTAAACTTTATATTGCTTCTCTGACCAATTTATTAATGAGACAGAATTTTTTTCTTCTTTTCATTAAAACTGCATCACCATTATCTGTAGATTCTCTTATGATTAAGAATGAAGAAGGTCACCATACTTCCTGATTTCAAAATATATTATTATAAAGCTATTGTAAATCAGAACAGCATGGTACTGGAATTAACAGCAGACACATTGCCCAATGGAACAAGATAGAAATCCCAGAAATAAATCCATATGCTTATAGCCAACGGGTTTTCAACAAAGAGGCCAAGAGCACACAATGGGGAAAGGAAAGTCTTTTCAATAAATGGTGCTGGGAAAACTGGATATCCATATGCAGAAGAATGATATTGAGCCCTTATACAATACACAAAAATCAACTCAAATGGATTCAAGACTTAAATTCCTAAAACCACTAGAAGAAACAGGGGAAAAGCTTCAAATCAGGATTACATCAAACTAAAAAGTTTCTGTATACCAAAGGAAACAAAAACAGTGAAGAAACAACCCATAGATTGAGAAAATATTTGCAAAACATGCATCTGATAAGGGGATAATATCCAAAAAATATAAAAAACTCAAACAACTCCATGGCAAGAAAATAAATGTGATTTAAAAATGAGCAAAGGATCTGGCAAACATTTTGTAAAGGAAGATATACCCGTAGACACAACAGTGTCTACATGTCTATACATGAATATATGCTCAACATCTCTAATCATAAGGGAAATGCAAATTAAAGCCACAATGAGACTTCACCTCATTCTGTTTAGAAGGCTATTATCAAAAGACAAAAAGATAGCAAATGTTGGTGAGGATGTGAAGAAAAGGGAATTCTGATATATTGTTGGTGGGAATGGAAATTGTTACAGCTATTTTGAAAAAAAAGTGTGGAGGTTCCTCAAAAAACTAAAAATAGAATTACCATATGACCTAGCCATCTTATTTCTAGATACATGTGCAAAAAAAAAAAAAAATTAAGATCAGTATATCAAAGAGATATCTGTACTTCCATGTTTATTTTAGCATTATTCACAATAGCCAACCTATGGAGGTGACCTAATTGTCCAATGGATGATTGGATAGAGAAAGTGTGGCATGAATACACGGTGGAATACTGTGGGGAGCCACTCTGAATAGCCACGCCTTCCAGTCCTGAAGCATGAGGCTCTGACCAATCACTACATTTCATGGTGACTTGGGCATTGTCCCAGCAACATGGGTCTAGGTTGAGCTACACTCACCTATTCCTTTGTCATCGTACCCCTTGCCTTATTTGGATGGTTTCTTCCCAATAAAAGGGTTCAGCTCATGCTCCTCTCTCTTTCCACCCCTAAGGTAGGAGGACTCATCACAGGATCCAAAGAAAGTGGTATTTCTCTGTCTCTGTGATTATTCGTGGCAGCCCCGTTCAGCTGGAGTGAACTTGAGTGTTTAGTCATGGAACGCGACAGAATGCTATTCAGCCTTAAAAGAAAAGGAAATTCTGTCATTTGTAATAATATGGCTGAATATGTATGCCAAATGAAATAAGACAGGCACAGAAAGACAAATACCACATCATCTCACATAGATGGAATTCATTCATCATTCAAGAGTTTATTTCAGAGAAAGAGAGAGTAGAATGATGGTTACCAGAGGCTGAGGGATTGGAGAGGGTAGTGATGGTTGATTGTCTAGATTGGAGAGATGGGGAAGGTGAAATGTTGGCTAAATTTTCAGGTAGCTGAGTAAGTTGTAGTGATCTATTGCACAGCCTGGTGACCATGGTCAATATTAATCAATTTGCATTTTAACATTGTTAAAAGAATAGGTTTAAATGCTTTCATCACAAAAAAAAGGTGATGTAAGGTAATGGCAATGTTAGTTTGATTTAATCTTTCTACCATGTATGTATACACTAAAACATCACATTGTACCCTATTAAATTAAGAGTTGGTTCATACAAGTGGGAAAGAACTGAGATGGCTTCTCTGTCTCTGAGATCTGTACTTCATAGATGTTTCTTGTTTGCCTATGTGTGCACATACATACACAGACTCAACTGACTACCAGACCTCTCAGTTCAGCCAACCACCTTCATCTGATGGACTCAGATCTCATGTGCCCACTCAGATTTAATCTGAACATTTAATCAGAACAATAATAAGCTCAACCTGAGTCATGAATACATTTGTGTGCTAGAGTTGCTTAAGAACTGATCCTTGAAAAACAAGTATATATATTTGTACACATATAACCTTATTATAAATGTTGATAAAAGGATGTATCAAACATGATTTAAACGAATAAAATGTATCAGAGGTTGAGGTGTAGCTCAGTGGTAGAGCACATGGTTAGCATGCATGAGGCCCTGGATTCAATCCTAGCACCCCAATCAATCAAACAATCAATCAATCAATCATACTCTTTATTCTAAACTCCACACACCTACAATTTCATTTTTTAAATATTTTTTTTAAAATTATAGTTGGATACAATATTTTATTTATTTATTTATTTTTATGTGGTGCTGAGGATTGAACCCAGGACCTTGCATATGCTAGGTGAGCTCTCTATCACTGAGCCACAACCCCAGCCTCACAATTTCACTTTTTTTGTGTGTGCCAGGAATTGGACCCAGGGGTGCTTTACCACTGAGCTACTTTTTTTCTAGTTTTTTTAAAAATTATTTTTAAATTTCTTCTAATTAGTTAACATGACAGCAGAAAGCATTTAGATGTATTGTATACAAATGGAGCACAATGAGCTACATTTTATACTTTATTTTGAGACAGGGTCTTGCCAAATTGTGGAGGATATCATTAAGTTGCTGAGGCTGGTTTTGAACGTGGGATCCTCTTGCCTCAGCCTCCTGAGTCGGTAGGATTACAGGTGTGTGTCACTGTGCCCAACTTCATTGTAAATTTTTATGATTTACTATAAAGTTACCAAGTCAAGAAGATGAATCATTGCTTGGTTACCATTCAGTTTATCAAAGAAGTTACTCATTGTCGCACTCCGGCTGGGCAAAATAACTGAGAGGTGACAAGCAACTTTAAGGTTGAAGCGGGAACTACTTTATTGCGAGTGAACTCAGCGGGAACTGAGTGAGAACTCAAAGTAGCGGACACCCAAGGTAGCAGGAGCCGCTTCTCTGCCGGACAGCAGAGGTATATATGCTTAACTAATTACACAAAGCTTAACTTAATTAACATCATTTAGATACAGCAGTCAGCCAATAAGGAATCCTCATCATCTTAATGGCTTGCTGGCATTGCTTCACAAAACACTCCTCCTGGCAAAGTGCCAGGCGCCATCTTGGCTTGATTTGCATCCCCAACAATTCATGTCATTAACTAAAGAATGCAGTTCCAACCTAAATATTGTTTTATGTCCTTGTCTATGTTGCTGAGCAAGACAATAGTGAAACAGCAAAGACCCACCACAGGTTTTGAATAATGAGAAGAATATTTCCTTAATTTTGGGGGGCTTTTCAGTGTTATGGCTATAGATATGACAGTTTTGCATTTACTTTGTAATATTAGCATTTTCCTTACTACTAGTTTTTTCTTTGCTGTGCTGAAATCTGGAGTTTCACACTTGGTAGGCATGTGCTCTACCGCTGATCTACTCCCCGAGCCCATTCCTTAGTACTTTCTTAAGTCTGCACCAGAGGTTGGCAAAGGATAGCCTGTGGGCCATATTTAAGCTGTGGCCTATTTTTGTACTGACTGAGATCCAACAACCAAAGAATACTATGTGAGAAACTGTCTATGGCTCACAACCTAAAGTGTTATCTGGCTTTTTACAGAAAAAGTTCACTGACCCCGAACTAGATAAAAACAACAATAATAAACCCACAATAATTTATACTGATTTCCATAGGGCAACTATTTTTATTTTTATTTTAGCCAATGTGATATAATTAAACATAGATTTGGGAAGGAATGAGCAGAAGCATACCATCATGTTTCAGCTATGACAGATATTAATAACCCCAATAGCATAAATAATAGTAAAATAGTTAGGAAATAATGCATTTTGGGTATCACCTTTATTTATTAAAAAAAAAAATTTGGCACCAAGGATTATATCCCCAGCCCCTTTTTTTGTATTTTATTTAGAGGCAGGGTTTCACTGAGTTGCTTAGGACCTCACTGTTGCTGAGGCTGGCTTTGAACTCATGATCTTTCTATCTCAGATTCCTGAGCTGCTGGGATTATAGGTATGTGCTACTGTGCTGGGCTGTCTCACCTTTTTAAAAATATGATTTATTTAATTGTAAATATATGTATACACATGTATGTATGTGTATCTGTGTATAAATTTATATAGAGAAAATCATGAAAAGTTAACTGGCTTTCAGCAACTGGAATGAGCAGGCTCCAGGATACCACTGGATATACCCCAGGAGTCCTCACTGGGCTGCAGTTCTTTGGTCTGTGAGTGAGCATATTCAATAAGAAGGCAGTGTAGGTGGAGCAGACTCTGATACATATTCTGAGTTTTCCGTAACACCCTGGTGTGTTACGGTAAGACAGTACAAATATGGTACATTTCCCAAATTTGTTTTCCCTGAAATCAGCAAAAGTTCTTCAGGGTTTTGAGTTAGGGGGGCTAGGGATAAGGATGGAGACTTCCATTATTTTCCAGAAGTGTCTATAAATCATAAATTCACACTCAATCCTAAAACAGGAGCTTAAGATT